GTTGTAGTCTAGTTGGTTAGGATACTCGGCTCTCACCCGAGAGACCCGGGTTCAAGTCCCGGCAACGGAATTTGAGTTTTTCGTTTGTTATTTCTCTTTTACGAAAACGAACCATCGGCAGTGCCTTGTCAATCTACCTTGGAAAAATAAAAAAAATAAAATCATAACAACCGACCAATGGGCAATTCTGTTGTAGTATAGTTGGTTAGGATACTTGGCTCTCACCCGAGGGACCTAGGTTTAAGTCCTGACAACGAAATTTAAGTTTTTCGTTTGTTATTTCTTTTTTACGAAAATGAAACATCGGTAGTGCCTTGTCAATCTACCTTGGAAAAATAAAAAAAAAATAAAATCATAACAACGATGGGCAATTTCGTTGTAGTCTAGTTTGTTTGGATACTCGGCCCTCACCCGAGAGACCCGGGTTCAAGTCCCAGCAATGGAATTTGAGTTTTTCGTTACGAAAACGAACCATCGGAAGTGCCTTGTCAATCTACCTGGAAAAATAAAAAAAATATAATCATAACAACCGACCGATGGGCAATTCTGTTGTAATCTAGTTCGTTATGATATTCTGCTTTCACCCGAGAGACCCAGGTTCAAGTCCTGGCAACGGAATTTGAGATTTTCGTTTGTTATTTCTCTTTTACGAAAACAAACCATCGGCAGTGCCTTGTCAATCTATCTTGGAAAAATAAAAAAAAATAAAATCATAACATTCGACTGATAGGCAATTTTGTTGTTGTCTAGTTGGTTAGGATACTTGGCTCTCACTTGAGAGACTCGGGTTCAAGTCCCGGCAACGGAATTTGAGTTTTTTGTTTGTCAATCTACCTTGGAAAAATAAAAAAAATAAAATCATAACAACTGACCGATGGGCAATTCCGTTGTAGTCTAGTTGGTTAGGATACTCGGCTCTCACTTGAGAGACCTGGGTTCAAGTTTCGGCAACGGAATTTAAGTTTTTCGTTTGTTATTTCTTTTTTACGAAAACAATAATAAAAAAAATAAAATCATAACAACCAACCGATGGGCAATTCTGTTATAGTCTAGTTCGTTAGGATACTCGGCTCTCACTCGAGATACCCGGGTTCAAGTCTTGGCAATGGAATTTAAGTTTTTCGTTTGTTATTTCTTTCTTACGAAAACAAAAATAAAAAAAATAAAATCATAACAACTGATTGATGTGCAATTCTGTTGTAGTCTAGGTTGTTAGGATACTTGGCCCTCACCTAAGAGACCCAGGTTCAAGTCTCGGCAACGGAATTTAAAGTTTTTCGTTTGTTATTTTTTTTACGAAAATAAAAATAAAATCATAACAACCGACTGATGGACAATTCTGTTGTTGTCTAGTTGGTTAGGATACTCGGCTCTCACCCGAGAGACCCGGGTTCAAGTCCTGGCAACGGAATTCGAGTTTTTCGTTTGTTATTTCTTTTTACGAAAACGAACCTGCCTTGTCAATCTACCTTGGAAAAATAAAACAAAATCCCTCCCAAGTTTAGTCACTCACCGGATTCCACAATCCCGTTCTCGTTCTAAGGCCGGAGGATAGTGGAGAAGACACTAGTGGTGGTTCGAAACCGGTTCGTGAGGCAAAAGGAGTTTGAACTACAAAAGGTTAGTATTTAAACTCATTAAGTTTTAATACTTATGAACATGCTAGTGATTTACAATAATTGATGTTCTAAAAGTGCCTAAGATCCAAATTGCTTCCGCATGTGTTATATTAACACCATCAGGAATTTGAGTTTTTCGTTTGGTTAGGATACTCGGCTCTCACCCGAGAGACCCGGGTTCAAGTCCCGGCAACGGAATTTGAATTTTTCGTTTGTTATTTCTCTTTTACGAAAACGTACCTTGGAAAAATAAAAAAAATAAAATCATAACAATCAACCAATGAGCAATTATGTTGTAGTCTAGTAGGTTAGGATACTCTGCTCTCACTCGAGAGACCCGGGTTCAAGTCTCGGCAACGGAATTTGAGTTTTTCGTTTGTTATTTCTTTTTTACGAAAACGAACCATCGGCAGTGCCTTGTCAATCTACCTTGGAAAAATAAAAAAAATAAAATCATAACAACCGACCGATGGGTAATTCCGTTGTAGTCTAGTTGGTTAGGATACTTGGCTCTCACCCGAGAGTCCCGGGTTCAAGTCCCGGCAATGAAATTTGAGTTTTTCGTTTGTTATTTCTTTTTTACGAAAACGAACCATCGACAGTGCCTTTTCAATCTACCTTGGAAAAATAAAAAAAATAAAATCATAACAACTGACCGGTGGGCAATTTCGTTGTAGTCTAGTTGGTTAGGATACTCGGCTCTCACCTAAGAGACCCGGGTTCAAGTCCCGGCAACGGAATTTGAGTTTTTCGTTTGTTATTTCTTTTTTAAGAAAACTGTCAATCTACCTTGGAAAAATAAAAAAAATAAAATCATAACAACCAACCGATGGGCAATTTCGTTGTAGTCTAGTTGGTTAGGATACTCGTCCCTTACCCGAGAGACCCGGGTTCAAGTCCCGGCAACGGAATTTGTGTTTTTCGTTTGTTATTTCTTTTTTAACAAAATTGTCAATCTACCTTGGAAAAATAAAAAAAATAAAATCATAACAACTGATCGATGGGCAATTTCGTTGTAGTCTAGTTGGTTAGGATACTCGGCTTTCACCCGAGAGACCCGGGTTCAAGTCCTGGCAACGGAATTTGAGTTTTTCATTTGTTAATCTTTTTTACGAAAACGAACTATCGGCAGTGCCTTGTCAATATACCTTGGAAAAATAAAAAAAATAAAATCATAACAACCGATTGATGGGCAATTCTATTGTGGATACTCGGCGGGAGACCCTGGTTCAAGTCCTGGCAACGAAATTGCCTTGTCAATCTACCTTGGAAAAATAAAAAAAATAAAATCATAACAACTAATTGATGTGCAATTTTGTGGTTGTCTAGTTGGTTAGGATACTCGGCTCTCACCTGAGAGACTCGGGTTCAAGTCTTGGCAACGGAATTTGACTTTTTCTTTTGTTATTTCTCTTTTACGAAAACGAACCATCGGCAGTGACTTGTCAATCTACCTTGAAAAAATAAAAAAATAAATAAAATCATAACAATTAACTAATATGCAATTTTGTTGTAGTCTAGTTGGTTAGGATACTTGACTTTCACCTGAGAGACCCGGGTTCAAGTTTTGACAACGAAATTTGAGTTTTTCGTTTGTTATTTATTTTTTACGAAAACGAATCATCGGCAGTACCTTGTCAATCTACCTTGGAAAAATAAAAAAAATAAAATCTCAATCTACCTTGAAAAAATAAAATCAAATAAAATCATAACAACTGACCAATGGGCAATTCCGTTGTAGTCTAGTTGGTTAGGATAATTAGCTCTCACCCGAGAGACCTGGGTTAATGTCTCGGCAACGGAATTTGACCTTTTCTTTTGTTATTTCTCTTTTACGAAAACGAACCATCGGCAGTGCCTTGTCAATCTACCTTGGAAAAAAAAAAAAATCATAACAACCGACCGATGGGCAATTCTGTTGTAGTCTAGTTGGTTAGGATACTCGGCCCTCACCCGAGAGACTCAGGTTCAAATCCTGGCAACGGATTTTGAGTTTTTCGTTTGTTATTTCTTTTTTACGAAAACAAACCAGAGCAATTTCGTTGTACTCTAGTTGGTTAGGATACTCGGCTCTCACCATAGAGACCTGGGTGCAAGTCTCGGCAACGGAATTTGAGTGAAAAATAAAAAAAATAAAATGATAACAACCGACTGAAGAGCAATTCTATTGTAGTGTAGTTGGTTAGGATACTTGGCTCTCATACTCAACTCTCATCCGAGAGTTTCAGGTTCAAGTCCTGGGTATATTTTTATCAAGTATTATTTTTTGAAAAAAGAACCCTAAGTTCCTAGTCGTTTGCTTTAAATATAACTTATAAAAAAAATAATATAATAACGTTTGATCAATTGATATTTTTAATTATTTGAAAAAAAAAAAAGAACCCTAAGTTCCCACTCGTTTGTTTTAAATATAACTTATAAAAAAGTAGTAAACAATAACAATCAATCAATATTTTTACTTTTATCGATAACATATTTTAAAATTTTATTTTAATTCTTAAAATTTTAAAATATGAATTTAAATTTTTGATATAGTTAAGTTGATAATCAATATTTGGCATTAATCATGGATAATAACAGTAAATGAGTTAGTTGGGTGATATGAAATAATTTCTTTTTTTGAAAAAGAAATCAAATATTGAATATTAAATATATTAGAATTCATGGACCAAAATTAAATGAATTGCCTCAAAATTGGGACCAAAATGAATTTTAAAAAAAATGAAAACTAAAGGCACACGGTTTGTATTGTAAGGTTGGAAGAAAATTTGGGGCAAATTTAATAGGTTAATCCAATGGTCAACCTATTGATTTGACCCGACCACATGAATTATTAGAATACTGAAAATTTAATAGCTAAGTCTCGTGGCTTAATGTAACTCACAATCTGACTTCAAATAATCTAAATTTTACTATTGAGACTTCTACCTTAAAACAAAATCGATATGATATTAGCTATAATAATATTATTTATTTATTTAATATTAAAAAGTGTAATTTTTTTTACATCAATCCACTATCGATATAGACTAAAAAAAATAATAATTTAACTAATTTATCATATAATTTATTTTTATTAAATTTAATTAAGCATAAATTATTATGTTTTAAAAAGATTTAAAATTTGATACCTATTAAACTAAAAAAAAATAAAAATTAATTAAATATCACGACTAAAATGTGTAATAATTTTATTTTTTTTAGTTTAATATAAATTTAAATATTAAAGTGTTTAAATAAAAGTCAAATCCCATCGTGTGTGTATATATAATATAAAATATTAATATATATTTCCAGAACTCTTTAAGAAAGTGGACGGCACGTATTCCTCACGACCATGCAACTTCTTTCACATTATCTATTTAAATATTATTCTTTTTTTCTTCATTTTTTTCATATATATATATATATATATATATATGAAAAATTATTTTTTAAAAAAAAGAAAATTGAAAGAAGAGCAAATTATTGTGTCTAAATTTTTGGAAAATAAAATAGGATATTTTAATTAAAATATTCTTTTGAAAATTTAGACTAAAATTTCGAGAATATTTTAATTTAATGTGGTTGGTTTTATTATTGTTTGGTGCATATTTAAAATTTTAAAAATTAATGGTTAGAAAATAATTTTTAATTATTTTCCATTATAAAAATGAATTATATAATTGATTAAAGTAAAAAATCATTAATAATTTTATTGGTATCTTATGTTCAAGCTTATAAATGATTTTTTTTTTAATTTAATACAAATTAATTAATGAAAAAATTGCTCCATCATAAATTATGAATATATATTTTATTTAATCCATATATTTAAAAATTTTACATTTTTACTAATTTTGGAGTTTAATTTCAATTTTATCCTTTAATACTCTAAATTAACTAAATTAAATATTATAATGTAAAATTTTTAATTAATTTTAATAATAATAGTAATAATAAATTAGTGACAATAATTAATTAATATAAAAATTAACCTAAGAACCAAATTAAAATTATTTTGAAATTTGTAATATTATACCGAAAATTGAATAAATAAATAAAAATTTAGATAGACAATATATATTTACAATATCGCTCTGGATTTGAAAGCTTGAAATTGTGTATAAACTCCATTTCCATGGCGGAATTCCCCTGTTTTCTCTGGTCCTAAAGTTGCAGAGCTGCTTCCCTCTCTTTTTACAAAAGAAACAAAAAGAAATTTCAGAGAAAGAAAAAGGGAAAAGAAAGCAACCCACAAGGAGGGAATAGCAATTCAAAAATCCTTTTAACTCTCTTCTTCTTCTTCTTCAAAATTCAAATTTATTAACCAAACCAGAGATTCCAATGGAGAAATTCTCCATCTCCGACCAAAAATTTCATCTGGGTTTCTGCCCTTCCTCCTCTTCCATGGATCTAAATGACCCATCCACCGTTTCTGAAACTTCCGGCCAATCTCCGCCCAGCCTCGCCTACTCTTTCTCTTACTGCAGAACCAGCTCCGACGCCTCTGCCTTCTCCGACCCCACCACCGACGATACCAGTTTCTGCACTGAGCCCTCTCCAGCGATTCCCGCCAGAAAATGTAAACTCACCGCCGGAGATAAAGCCGACGATCAAGACGCCATGGATTCCGGTGAGTGGGTTTTGTGAATTTTCTCCCCCTTCTTACAAAATCACAAGTTTTTTTAACATTGTCGCAGAAACAGAGATGATGAAGGAGAGATTTGCGAAGCTTTTGCTCGGAGAAGACATGTCCGGAAGTGGGAAAGGGGTTTGCACGGCGGTTACAATCTCAAACACCATTACTAATCTCTATGGTCAGATTTTTCTTTTTTCAAACTGTTTTAACTTTTTTTGATTCTGGGTCTTAACTTTTGGCTCTGTTTTTTGGTCTGATCAGCGACGGTGTTCGGACAGAATCTGAAACTGGAGCCGTTGCCGGCGGAGAAGAAGGCGATGTGGAAGAGAGAAATGGCTTGTCTGTTATCTGTTTGTGATTACATTCTTGAGTTCTTCACTGAATCTCAAACCTTGGACGATGGAACAACAATGGAGGTGACAATTCTGTCTTTTTCAGAACAAAATTGGTTCTGTTTTAGAACAAAATTGTCTGTCGGCTAGGATGTCGGTTTTAATGATGGGGTTTTTTCAGGTTTTGAACAGGAGACAAAGGTCAGATATATACCTAAACCTTCCGGCATTGGAAAAGCTTGATATGATGCTCTTGGTAAAACACTATAAGAACGCTGTAATAATACTTTGGTTGAACATTTTGAGAGTGATTTATCAATCTTGTTTGGGTTTTGGCAGGACATTTTGGACAGTTTTCACGATACCGAGTTTTGGTATGCTGAAAAAGGAAGCATGTCGTCGAACTCGAACTCAAACCGTTCGAAATCGGCTTCTTTTCGCCGACTTTCGTTGCAGAAAGAAGAAAAATGGTGGTTGCCAGTTCCTTGCATTCCTTCATGTGGTCTATCAGAGAAAGCACGGAAACAACTAAGAAATAACCGTGAATTTGCGAATCAAATCCACAAAGCTGCTATGGCTATTAACAGTACTATTCTTGCTGAAATGGATATTCCTGAGTCATACATCGACACTCTTCCAAAGGTTAGTCTTTTAATCGACCGATCGTAGTCCTTTACTCTCGACCCATGTAAATCCGTTTTTTGATTGGTTTTCACGAAACAATCCATTTTTCATTTTTTCAGAGTGGAAAGACGAGTATAGGCGATACGATGTACCGTTATATGTATAGTGCTGACAAATTCTCGCCCAATCATTTGCTCGATTGCTTGAACATAGGATCTGAACACGATGCGCTCGAACTTGCAGACCGAATCGAGGCTTCGATGTATACATGGAGAAGGAAAGCATGTCTAAGCCACTCAAAATCATCGTGGGAATTGGTAAAAGATCTAATGGCTGAAGGTGATAAAGGTGACAAGAACACTATCTTAGCCGAAAGAGCTGAGAGCTTGCTTTTGTCCTTGAAACAACGGTTCCCCGAACTTTCTCAAACAACCTTAGACACTAGCAAGATTCAATACAACAGGGTAAGTTAAGAGTATATGTCTTGTCCACTTACATTAGTGCTCGATTTTTTAATTTTTAAAAGTGCATATAAGATACAAAATTAAACATTTATGGATCAAATATGCACTAAATTAAACGTTTAAAGATCTATTAAACCCATTTTAGAATCCTGATACTAATAAGATTTGATGTTGTAGGACGTGGGACAAGCAGTATTGGAGAGTTACTCGAGAGTGTTGGAAGGGCTGGCATTCAACGTTGTGGCATGGATTGAAGATGTTCTTTTTGCTGATAGGTCCCTCTGAACCCAAGAGTAGGGACCCTCCTCTCTTACCAAGAAAAGGAAATGTTTAGTTGTTTGTTTATATTGTATGGTCACAATTTGTATAAAAACTATGTCTTTAGTTGGGACACAGGGTTCTCCCTATTTGTAGAATGTATTTACCTTTTAGGTTAAAGTTGCACGGGAAATTGTACCCTTTTTTTTAATCGGTTCGATGAAAATGCATAGTCACTTACTTAAATTATCTTTCTTCTCGAGCAAAGAACACGTATCCATCTAAAAAAAAGTAGGGGTGTATAAACGTTGAGTTAGAAAAATCTTTTAGACTAACCTGGAATTTTGAGTTAGTTGAGTGTGTGACTCGAGCAATTTAGATAGAGTTTACAACCAAACCCAACTAGATTCAGGTTGGGTCGAGTTGCCGGGTTATTGTTAAAAAAAATTATTTATCCATAATATATATTAAATTAATAACTAAAATATCATAAAACTCAGATATCAAACATTATCACTACCATTGGTTATAAATTATTTAACATTCCCAAATGTTATTCTTCAAAGTACATAAAACTCATCAATGTAATCTATAATTATTTTTTATTTATTTATTACTAAAAATAAATTTGGAAATATTTAAAATGTAATTTTTAAAAATATATAATGAAAATACAAATGTTTAAAAATAACTTTAAAAATCCAAAAAAAAATTATAATTCCAACGATTGAATCGAGTTATAGAAATTATTCAATAAAATTGCGCCTTTCTGTCCTTTCTCCCTCGCTCCCTCACCCTCCGGCGGCACCCACTCTTCTCCGGCAAGCACGTACTCCCCTTGTCGAACCATATCCTGCGACAGCGATAGACTCACCTGGAAGGCGGCCGACCCCCACGAACATCCTTACAGCAACCCTCTCCTCCCGGCGCGACTTACAAGCGGTAAAATCTAGTTTAATCAACTCGATTGGGGTTCTTATGTTGAGATATGATTCAAAGTATTCAAAATGAAGATATGATTCAGGGTAGTTAGATATGATTCAAATATTCAAACTACCAAGATTCTAGGAGATTGTTAATAGATTTGAGTTTATCTAGATTTCTATGATTTACTATTTCTGGTCCAGTGTATTAGCTATAAATACTGGAATTGTGTGACTCTGTAAGCATCAAGTCTTTAGACATTAATAAAGCACTGCAGCATTCTTCTAATTTATCCATTCCTATCTCTTTCACTATCCCTCTTTCCAACAATTTTGTTATCAGAGCCAAGTTCGTTCAACACGAGGGCGAGTGATTATTTTCTTTCACAAAACAAAAATGGCAGTAGCTGGTTTTTCTTCCTCTGCACCGTTGTTACCAATATTTAATGGTGAGAAATACGAGTGGTGGAGCATCAAGATGAAGACCTTGCTCAGATCACAGGAGCTATGGGACTTGGTGGAGCACGGGTTTGCTGATGTATTAGAACCCACAATAGAAGAAAAGGAGAGACTAAGAGAAACCAAGAAAAACGATGCCAAGGCTCTATTCATTATTCNTTCAGCAAGCAGTTCATGAGACTATCTTTTCACGAATTGCAGCAGCAACCACATCAAAGCAGGCATGGTCAATTCTACAGAAGGAGTTTCTAGGAGATTCAAAGGTCATGACAGTGAAATTGCAATCCCTAAGACGCGATTTTGAAACTCTACTCATGACGAATGGCGAATCAATTGCTGATTTTTTGCCAAGAACAATGGCAATAGTCAGTCAGATGCGTACCTATGGAGAGAAAATTTCAAACGAAACAATTGTTGCAAAGGTGTTGAGAAGCTTGACTTCAAAGTTTGACCATGTGGTGGCTGCCATAGAAGAAGCTAAGGATCTATCCATACTCTCCATTGATGAACTGATGGGCTCACTTCAGGCTCATGAGGCAAGAATCAATAGAGCATCAGAAAGGAACGAAAAAAAGGCACTACAAGTAAAGGAGACAACCAATAACGAAAGAGAAAATATTCATTTAGCAGGTAGAAGTCGTGGAAGAGGAGGATTTCGCAACTTCCATGGTGGTCGTGATAACAGGTGGAGAAGTGATGGACAGAGACAATTCAATGAACAAAGAAATGTCATACAATGTTACTATTGCAGAAGGTATGGGCACACAAAATCTGATTGTTGGTATAAAAATCAACGAATGAATTTTGCAGCAGAGAATGAAGAAGAAGAAGAAAAGCTGCTTATGGCGTGCATGGATACTAATCCAAGAAAAGGTGACTTATGGTTTGTTGATAGCGGATGCTCGAACCATATGACAGGCACCAAATCCTTATTCAAAGAGCTTGATGAGACGCAAAAGATTAAGGTGTAACTTGGAAATACAAAAGAGATGCAAGTTGAAGGAAAAGGTCATAAAGTTCAAATTGCCATGACTTCAAATAAGATGTTTCCACTTGATATTTCTAACATGGAGGATTTTGCTCTTACTGCTAGCATTAAAGATGATTCAACATTATGGCATCTCAGATATGGACATCTTCATATGAACGGCCTGAAAATACTCAGGGATAAAGGTATGGTTTTCGGATTACCAAAAATTGACTCAACTAATTTATGTGAAGGATGCATTTATGGCAAGCAGACTAGGAAGTCCTTTCCTGTTGGAAAAGCTAAAAGAGTTTCACATTATCTAGAACTAATTCATGCTGATTTATGTGGGCCAATGCAAACGAAGTCCTTGGGTGAAAGTATATACTTTTTACTATTCGTTGATGACTATAGTCGCATGAGCTGGGTTTACTTCCTACAACATAAGTCAGAAACTTTTCAGAAGTTCCAGATTTTTAAAGCTATGGTAGAGAACCAAAGTGGCTGTCACATTAAAGTTTTCGCACAGACAGAGGTGACGAGTTCATATCTAAAGATTTCAATCTCTCTTGTGAAGAAGAGGGCATCCAAAGGGAATTAACAGCTCCTTACACTCCAGAACAGAATGGAATCGCTGAACGAAAAAATCGAACTATTGTGGAGATGGCAAGAAGTATGTTACAAGCAAGGAGACTTCCAAACCAATTTTGGGCCGAAGCCGTAGCAACATCTGTTTATCTATTAAACATCTCACCAACAAAGGCGGTTATGAATCGAACTCCTTATGAAGCATGACATGGAAGGAAACCATCTGTAAGTCATTTACGAATCTTTGGTTGTGTTGCTTATGCTTTGAAACATCCTTAAACTCGTCAAAAGCTTGATGAAAAATCTGAAAAATGCATTTTCATTGGCTATTGTACTCAATCAAAGGCATATAAACTATACAACCCCATTAGTGAAAAGATTTTAGTTAGAAGGGATGTAATATTTAATGAAAACGTGAGTTGGGATTGGAGTAAAGAACATGAGCAGCAAAAGATTACAGTTGAAGTTTCCCCAAATGAAGAGACAAGGGTCAACTCCAGTGCATCTCCCAGTGCATCCACTGCAACACAAAGTGTGTCAAATTCATCATCTTCAGAATCATTGAACAACAATTCCTCTCTTGAAGAACTTTCAGATGAGACATCTCCGAGGAAGTATAAATCTTTAGCTGACATATATGCATCATGTCAATTTGCTCTTACTGTTTCAGACCCTATGAATTATGAAGAAGCAACTGAAAAAGAAGACGGGAAGAAAGTCATGACAGTGGAGATGCAGTCTTTTAAGAAAGATGAAACATGGGATATGGATGACCTACCAAACGAAAAGTTTTATGGAGATTTACAAGAAGAGGTTTATGTAAGACAGCCAGAGGGATTCATAAAGGAAGACAAAGAAACAAAAGGTATACAAGCTGAGACAGACAATGTACGGGTTAAAGCAGACATACTTACAAAGGCCTTGTCAGAAGAAAAGCTCTGTACTTACATCTGCAACTTTGAATCATGGGGAGTGTTGAGATATGATTCAAAGTATTCAAAATGAAGATATGATTTAGGGTAGTTAATGATTCAAATATTCAAACTACCAAGATTTTAGGAGATTGTTAATAGATTTGAGTTTATCTAGATTTCTATGATTTACTATTTCTGGTCCAGTGTATTAGCTATAAATACTGGAATTGTGTGACTCTGTAAGCATCAAGTCTTTAGACATTAATAAAGCACTGCAGCATTCTTCTAATTTATCCATTCCTATCTCTTTCACTATCCCTCTTTCCAACAGCTTACATCGATTGAGTTTACAATTCTGCTCAATTAGTTCTGAAAACCCTTATTTCGGATCATTAGGATTTTTAGCGCCCCGAAAATTCGTTACTGGCCTCTTACTCGGGTACTCGTGCGCTGTATTGTTTGATTATTGTACGATTTTTTTGCTTAATAAATGTGGAGTTGATTAAGTAGCCCACTGAAAATTCTAGTGAGATTATTTAGGGTTGCAGTGTGTATTTTGGATTCTTGATATTGATATTAGAAAACGTATGGGCGTTTCATTCCGTGACGGTTTTTAAGTTCAAAATTCCTGCAGAAATCCTTACAATTTCATCGTAGATTGCCTGATTATTTGCAGTATAGCGGTCTTGAAGTTGCAGCAGCAAGGTCAATGAGTAGCAACATGGAAAGGCCGCAGAAATCTAGACCTCCCGAAATTATTAAGTTGAATGACGCAGCGAAATTGGTAATAAATTAAAATTTCTTTACTCAGTTCATCATGGTTCTGAATTTGTTCTTATTTGCGTTCTCCTTCATTGTTGTTTGATTGGATAGCTTTCAACTTTTCCTCAGTTTTCTGTTGACAAAACTTCAAATCTTGTAGAGAAATTTGGCACACTCTAAGCTTATTATGTTGCAACATGAGCTCACTAAAATGTCAACTAGATAAGATAATGCTCTGATCTCAGATCTTCGAATGAATTGTCCTGATATTTGATAAACGGAGTATCCATCTTACGTGCAGGCAGCGGAGTTGATGAGTAAGATGACAAATTGCGAATGGAAAGAAACTGCAAATGATAATAAATCAACCGTGGTAGAACCCGAAAATCGACCTCCTAGGTCAGTACTCAACTATCTGGATCTTTTACTATCGCATTAGGCTGTTTTCTAGCTAACTCTGCACCTGTTTCTGTAGACTTGGACTTGGAGCCAAAATAAGTAGCCAGTTCAGAAATGGACCTTCTAATGACCCACTTGATAGAAAATTATATGCCAAGTTGGACGCTGGGAAAAAGCAAGCTGCTAGAAAGATGTTGGAGGATACTCCTGTAGTTAACAATGAAGATGACGACGACAACGATGATGAAGAAGAGAGTGAAACTGCCATGTTCGATAAGAAGCGAGCACCAACTCGAGTAACTATGCCTCCTTTGTGGACCAAGAAAAAACGAAGGTAGTTTATTTTTGTAGGTAGGGAATGTTCTTGATTATCAAACCAGTTGTCTGATAGTTAAAAATGATAGAACATAACATCTTATTTGGTCTTAGACAAGAGGGTATTTGATTTAGAAGGTAGTTTGTTCATTTATTGTGAGATCCTACGTCGGTTATAAAGAAGAACGAAGAAGTTCGAAAGAGAAAGTCTAAAGAGGACAATATCTGCTAGTGGTGGACTTGGGTCGTTACATTTATGTTGGTATGATTGAACTTGTTAGGGCATCTTTTGAATGACTTTGCAAGGTATTCCGAGGGACGATAATTTTTTTTTTTTTGTTTGTTTGAAATAATTAGATTGGTTAGGGATTATTTTTTTCAATAATCTAGTTGGTGGTGCTAACATGCAAGCCTTGGTTGGGTGTGAAGTTAGCTCGTTTCCCTCTTTCCTGTGCCTCCCACTCGGGTGTAATCCTAGATCTCTTTTGGATTGGAATGTCGTTGTGAGTAGGATTTGTGCTAGACTTTTATCTCGAACGAGAAGGTTTTTCTTGAAACGTGATAGACTTACTTTGATCCAGTTTTCCTGGAGTGGATCCCTATCTATTTCTTTTCTCTTACTTTGTCGTATTGAGTTTTCATTTAGACCATAAGTTTTAAGATATTACATTTTTACTCTTAACTTTCGGGTTTAGTTTAAATTTGATCGGGTTTAGTTTAAATTTGATCATTAAATTTTAAAATGTTACATATTTACTGTTGAATTTTAAGTTGAACTTTTCAGAGTCTCAAGAAGATCTTACATTTTTATCTTTAAATTTTCACTATTAATATTTAAAAGTCATTGGGATATTTTGAAATAAATATTTTAAGTTTTTATCAAATAATTCTTCTTAAATAATTTTATAATACAAAGTTAAAGGATCCAATTCCCCAAAAGGTGAGAAGTTTTTCTTTCAAAAATTTACCATAAATTATATAAAAAAAACAAGAAATTTAAATGGCAATGTGCGGGCTCTGTATTTACCAATTAAAAGAAAAGGGGTTCGAATCAAATGCGGACGAGATCACAAATTGGACACGTAGTTGGTACTGATTGGTTAGAATGTGATAACTACGACGTGAAGTCGGATCAGCCTGCAATAAGGCACAATTTTTTTATGTACGGCTGAATACGGAGGTTGGAACATGTTCAGACGGTAGCCAGTCACCGACCTCTCATTGTCTCCCCACGCGCTTATACTTTTTGATCCCGAGCGTGGTTTGAACGCATTAACATGTGTGAAATAATCTTTTTTTTTTAAGAAAAAAAAAAGGACTCAAACTTCATTACAATTTTTTTTTTATAATAAAAAACAAATTTCTTAAATATTTTCTTTAAATTTGTTTAGTACAGTCCAAAAGAATTAAATTAATAAAAATATTTTTAAATATAGCACTTTATCTTACTACTCCTAAATTTAAAAAAATTTAAATGGTATTTATAAACTTTAAAAGAAGTCTAAAAAAAAGTTTGAACTAAAAAAAAATTCAGGAATTTTCTTAGGATTAGTCTGAAATGAAACGTTAATATTTTGTTTTAAAATATTCTTAGATTTTAATTTTTTTTTAAAATACTCTTATCCTACCAAGTATGAAAAAAACTCATGAACTCTGAAAAATAATATTAAAAAATTTAGAGATACTCTATGAGACGACGTCATGCATTTTATATATATATATATATATTGATGGTAATAATTTTTTTATTATTTTTTATTTATAAAAGTAAAGGAGGTTAACTTTACTTCTATAATTTCATGAGTTCTTATTTTAAAAAATACCAATCATTACAAAAACACTATTAAAAATTTAAAGGATTTTTTTTATTATTATTTTTTAATTTAGTTTAAGGATATTATTGAAACTTTTTTACCATTTAAAAATATGGTTGAGAAAAAGTTAAATGCTATTTTTATTAATTTATTATTTCATCCTACCTAAGGTATTATATAACTTTTAAATATTATCAGCCTTTTGTTTTAATTATACATTTACATAAATATTATCAATAACATTTTTTTTTAAGTCATAGTTGAAATATCTATTTCCAGATTTTAATTATAATAAATAAAAGAAAATACATCCCATGCTTATGGGGCCAAATAATATTTTAAAAAAATAAAATATAAGTTAAAATTTGATAACCTAACTTATTTCAAAATACAAAAAAAATTAGATTTAATTAAGTTAGGATAACAATTAGTTTAAGCTTAAGAAAAAAAAAATTAGCAAAGCACGTACTACCTATTACACTAATGTAAAATGGTTAGATATGTTCTTGGTGAATCACATTCTTTGTGTTTTTGTAAAAAAATTTCGGACGGTTGTGGGTTTGGACCAATCACAATTCATCACCATCTTGCCCGCTTCTAATTGATGGGTGACTATTAAATAAGTGTTGACCCAAGTTCCTGTGTTGGGGCTCGGCTCCCTAACCGTACGTGAGAGCCGCCTCGTATGACCCATTAAACCCTTCTCTCCAGGGCTTAGCTCTCTTTCTCAACTCGAGTGTAAAGTTCAACTGCTTTGATCATTGACAAACTCAAAATTAATACCGTAATTACACGAGAAAACGATAATTATGGCTTTTCCAATAATAATAAGAAAATAGAAAATATTATCAAATAATTTAGATTAAAGTGCAAAAGTAATGTATAATAATCATAAGCAAATGCCTACCTACAACTGAAGTACAAGAAAATGTTCTTAATTACACTGGAAAACGTTAATTAATACCTTAAGAACACTAGAACTTGCTCAAACTTTTGAAGGATTGTTAGAGCAATTGAGGAAACTGAAGAAGAAAGGCTTTTGTTTTTCCGTATAGGAATCAATGAATTGTTGAGAGTACAATAATGGAGGTCGTGAGGTTGGGGAAAAGTGTTAGGAATCACGACTCTCCACAATGGTATGATATTGTCCACTTTGAGCATAAGCTCTCATGGCTTTGCTTTGGGCTTCCCCAAAAGGCCTCATACCAATGAAGATAGTATTCCTCACTTATAAACCCATGATCTTCCACTAAATTAACCAATGTGGGACACTCCCAATCCCAATAATCCTCAACAAAAAGGACAATAATGGAGTCAGCTCCTGAGCAGTTCTCCACGCCACAGTGACGCGTGGATTATACGGATAAACAGCAACGGGTATGGATGGATTCTTCATTTCATCGCTCTAAAAATGAAAAACCCAGTACAAGAGCCAAGAGGGAATCCAAATTCAACTCAACGCTTCTTGTACACGCCGTTTTCTGTTCATTTTCGTTTCTCTTGCCCATACCAACGAAGACCCAATACAAAATCAAACTCAAGTTTGAAGGCTCAACCGATCTCCCTATCTCTCTCTCTCTCTCTCTCTCTTTTGTAGCTTCCTGTGATCTTCTTCTTCTTCTTCTTCTATAAACCTTGATTCTCTCTCTCTCTCTCTCTCTCTGTTAGAGAATTCACTTTGTTAAAGCCCTAATACTTGATTCGGATCTTGGATTGGAATTGGTTCTGGGGTTGTTGGGCCGCGATGAATTCGCGGGAAGATGTAATTACTGCGGTGCTTTTGGGTTTGTTGCTGACTTTGAGGCTGGTTTCTGCTGGGGATATAGTTCATCAGGACACTGTCGCACCCGCGCGCCCTGGTTGTGAGAATAATTTCGTTCTGGTTAGCACTTTCGCTTATTCTCTACTTCTTGTTCTTGATTTCAACTTATTTGGAAGTTTCAATTTGAATATTTTGTTATTGCTACTCGAATTGTGTGGATTTGATGATTGCAAAATTTGGGTATTGGACTATTAATTGAAAACAAATGAAAATATTTGGAGTTGATGGTCGAGTTTATGATTTGTGTGTCAGGCTTAGCTTATGGAGGTTCTTCATTTGTTCCCTCTCTGTCTCCCAAATGTATTTGATTATTCATTTTTTGCTCGAGTCTATTTGGCTGCTGACACTATGACAAAGCAACGAACTAATAAAATGATGCTTGCTTGTTATGCTGTATCTTGTTATGGGTACATAGCCGATTTAGGGATTGACGACTTACCCATTCAGTGACTTTGACATTTTTGGAGTACTATCGGGTCGGGTGAATTCAATAATAGATGCCTGTTGGCATTCCAGCCTTTCTTCTCCTTTCAGGGTCTACCCGAAAGAGAATCGAGTGTTTCTTGGTTGTGAATATTTGAATAGGACGAACCGTCATGTTGTTTAGTTCGGAACAAAACAATTAGAATTAGGCTTGTTGAATTGGGATGCGAGTTAGATTCAATGGATGGATGTTGGTGGTAGAATCGATTGCTTGTTCAAATAGTGATAATTTTGAGGATTGTAATCAGTTTATCCTACACACATATTGTAGCTCATTGATTTTTCTGTTTAGGTGAAAGTCCCTACTTGGGTTAATGGTGCAGCGGCCATTGAATATGTTGGTGTTGGTGCTCGATTTGGCCCGACCTTGGAATCAAAGGAAAAACATGCTACTCATACTAGAGTTGCTCTGGCAGATCCTCCTGATTGTTGTAGTAGGCCTAAGAATAAGGTAAGATTTTCTGATATTTATACTTCAAAGTTCCATTGATTTGAAATCGAACTGTTCGGTGTGCTTGTAGCTGACTGGGGAGGTGATCTTGGTACGACGTGGAAACTGTAGTTTCACAAAGAAGGCAAATATTGCAGAAAATGCTAATGCTTCAGCCATCCTCATCATTAATAACAGTAAAGGTACCTACACATTTTCTTTTCCTTATTGTTCTTGGCTGCAAGATCTTTTGAGGTTACTTTTCTTTGCAATGGTCAGGTTAGATATATGTATACCATAATAACAAGTTGTGGATACCACTCATGATCATTTTCGTATTCTTTCTAAAAATTTATTTTGTTATGAAATGAATATAACTTTCACTACGAATATGGAAGTGTGAAGGATGCATGAACTGGAGAGGAAGAGGGAACAAAACACAACCTCAGAAAACTATCAAGATATGCCCCCAGGATGAAGGTAAAAAAATGG